GGATCGATGCAACAGGAGCTCGTCGCAGTGTTAGGAGGCCGCACGAGGGAACAGAGGATCGTGGCTTGGGGTGAAGTGGTGAGCAAGGAAGAGCTTGTCGAGGTCCAAAAAGCAGATGGTTTTTGTCAGCGGGTGTTGGGGAAAATTGCGGAAATGGCAAGCAACACCGGGAACGCTGGCGGTCAATTTTAACGAACATATTGATTCATACCTGCTGGGTCAAGACGGCTTATTGCTCCGCTACATTCCAACAATCGACGACGAGGAGGGGAACGACTCTCCGTTCAGGGTGGTGATTCCTAGGAGGCTACGGAGGCGGTTTAACGGATACTTCCACGACTCGGCTTTGGCTGGTCATGGCAGCGGCAGCAAGACTTTTCAAAAGTTATGTCGCGTCGCGACCTGGCCGGGGATGAGACAGGACACACTCCGATACGCCCGTAGCTGCCCAGCCTGCCAGAAAGCGAAGCCGCGAGGGGGAAAGCCCCCAGGCCTTATGCAGCCTGTAGTGAGTCAATACCCGTGGGAGATGGTTGCTTCCGACATCATCGGCCCACTTCCAAAAAGTCCCCGTGGGAACCAGTATCTATTGGTAATAACCGATCATTTCTCAAAATGGGTGGAGTTACACCCGCTGAGGAAGCTGGTCTCGGAGCGGATCTGGGAGAAGTTGTTGGAGACTTTCATGCGCTTCGGTACACCCACGTGTCTCATAGCGATAATGCTAGCTATTTTACCAGCAGAGTGTTCACTGACTCCTGCTTGGCGCTAAACATAAAGCACAAAAGGACGACACCATACCATCCTCAGGCTAATATCACTGAGAGAGTGAACCGAAACTTGAAGAGCATGCTGATCACACTAACGGAGAGACACAGGGACTGGGACGAACACATTGTCGAGATGGATTTCGCAATCCGGACGACCGTGAACAGATCGACTGGGTTAACGCCTGCGCTTCTAAACTTGGGTTATCGTCTCCGCTAGAGAACGGGTTACGATATAACCAAGGTTCGACAGAACGCCCACTCTCTAAATACGCGGCGGAGTTGAAAGTTCGCCTTTCGAATGCGTTGCACGACGCCAGAGAGAACCTCGTTGCAGCAAGGATCGAACAGGCGGCCCAGTACGATAAGACTCATCGTCACCTGGAGTACAAGGTGGGGGACTTGGTCCTCAGGAGAACCCATCCTTTGAGCAATGCAGCGAGCGGATTCGCAGCCTCACTTGCTCCGAAGTGGGGCCCTACGTGGTAAAGGCACGACTGTCACGTCTTACCTACAGGCTCGCTCAGGAAAATGCGAGCGAAGAGTCTGGCCCGGTCCACATCACAGACCTGAAAAAGTACCATCTTCGTGATTGGGATGACGATGAACGAGAACAAAACGAGGAATCCTCCGTTCCGCGTGACTCGCGCGCGCGACCGGCAACGCGGCCTAAGCGCGGTAGCCGAACAATGCGCGAACCCGTCGGTGAGAGATCCGATAGGTGCTCTGCGCGGCGCTATAATCTGCGGCCTAGAACTTGATCTAATCTTTGCAAGATGTTAATAGAGCTTGTTCTGTCCAGAAATGCCCCCCGGAGGAACCAGAATGGGCGGCGCCATCCAGGAAGGCGACCTTCCACTTCACGGGATACCGGCGGAGCCAGCCGGCCCAACTCCCAGGGTGGTCAACCCTTCCGGCAGAAGACCAGTCAGCCCAACGCACCGGGTGGCCAACCCGTTCGGCAAGAGAATGGCCAGACAAGCCGACAGGGTGGTCCAGAGCCGTTTATACTGAGAGAGTTTGGCCGATGGGCGGAGCTTGTTGGCCGCTAGAACAAGCGGATTTCGCGATAACACAATATGGCGTTACTTCTTTGTCTTGTTCATTCCTGAGAAATCGCGTAGAGTTCCTATGAGTCAGATCCACAATATGGCGGACGGAAGTAGTCATCCCCTGGTTGTCAGACTACGCTGCTGTGGTTGTCAGACTGTCAAAATCTCCTTAAGAAGGCCAAACTCTCTCAGTATAAACGGCTCTGGGGTGGTCAACCCGGTTGGAGGGGGGAACGGCCAGACCAACCGACAGGGTGGTCAACCCGGTTAGCAAGGAGCAAGACGGACCAACCGTCAGGGTGGTCAACCTGGTTGGCAGAGACGGGGTGAGCAATCCCGACGTCGACCACGTCATCGAAGGCAGGACGGCGGAGACGCGGAGGACCGGAGAGTCCCAGGGACACGCTGAAGGACGAGGTGCTGAAGATCATGTCGGTGCAGAAGCAGACGCGTGCCGGCCAGCGCACCCGCTTCAAGGCCTTTGTGGCCATTGGGAACTTCAACGGCCAGTGCTCCAAGAGCTCCAAAGAGGTGGCAGTCCTTCCAAGTGCTCCAAAGAGGTGGCCACGGCCATCCTTCAAGCCATCATCCTGGCCTAGTTGTGCGTCATCCCCGTCCGTAGCGGCTATTGAGGAAACAAGAGCGGAAAGCGCCACACCGTACCCTGCAAGGTGCGTGCTGATGTGGCTGATCCGGCGCCCGGCGGCACAAGCATCGTGTCCGCCCCAGTGCCCACGAAGTTGCTGCACATGGCGGGCATCGAGGACTGCTACACCTCGGCCCGCGTCTCGACGGCCACGCTGGGCAACTTTGCCAAGACCACCTACCTGGCCATCTAGCAGACGTACAGCTACCTGACCCCGGACCTGTGGTGGGAGCGAGAGCTCATCAAGTCCCCCCACCAGGAGTTCACCGATCACCTGATGCACGTTCACCGCCACCAGCAAGGCGGAGATGGGCGACTTGGAGTCCAGTGCCTCGGTCCAGGGACTCCGGATGCTCCGGACCCCCCGGAGTTTGAGGCTTGAGGGGAGGGGAGTGTGGGAGACAACGAGCCACGCTGAACGTGGATGGACGGCCCCGTGAGCGGCGAGGAAGAAGAAAAAGGGACGCTCGTGGTATATGTGCGTGTGGACAGAGTTCGAAGGGCCGTGACGAACGAAAGAGGCGGTGCTGAACGAGCCCAGGGAAGACCCGGACCACAGGGCAACCTTGGCCTTCCACAGCATCCACGGCACAATTTCAGTATTCATAAAGTGTTTGTCTGTGATAGCGCTTCTTGTGTGACTTCCTCGGAGCGAGTAGAACTCGGCCTGATCGGGAATTGAGAGGTGACCCACACTACCTACCTACCTACCAACCCACCCACCTTCCCCCTCCCTCCTACCTACCTACCTACCTACCTACCTACCTACCTACCTACCTACCTACCCACCCCCTCCCTCCCCCTCTCTCTCACTCTCTCTTCATATATATATATATATATATACCGTTTTTTTATTTCTTCAGATTTGTTTTACAAAAGCCGTGAAAGCTACACCTATGCGGTTTGGGCAGACGGGTAATACGGCCAGGCGGACATTATATGGGTGGTTAATCTTTGCGATAAGTCGGATAATAATTAAAATTCGTTAATAAACTTTTTAATTAGTGAAAATAGACATATGGTTCCACTTAGAAGCATGCAGACCATCATCGAAAACATTAAATCAACTACTCTTAGAAGGATATGACGCCAGGACAGCATTTTACGGCGTTGTGTAAAAACGCTTTATTTGGACGCGTTTCTAGGTTTCGATTTTTTATCGGAGCGCATCTCTGCGCCCGCAGAGCTGCACCCTAGTAACTGAGACGCGCAACACACGTGCGCCCTCGCTCCCTCCGTTCTACGTGGGAGGCGAAGGGGTGGCTTCGCGCCGCGACCACCGGGGAGCAAGACCGCGGGCACAAAGATGCGGTCTGATAAGAAACTGAAATCTAGAAACGCGTCCAAATAGAGCGTTTTTACAGAATAACGTAAAATGCTGCCCCGGCGTTATATCCTTCTAAGAATATTTCATTTAGTGGTTTTCGATGATGCTCTATAAGTTTTTAATTGGAACCATATGTCTATTTTCACGAGTTAAAAAGTTGATTAACAAATTTTAATTAATTAGCCGACTTATCCACCCACATAATTTCCGCCTGGCCGTGTAACCCACCTGCACAAATCGCATAAGTGTAGCTTTTACGGCTTTTTTTTTAACAAATCTGAAAGAATAAAAAAACACCGTATCTATATATATATAGATATAGATATATATTAAACTACAAATTAGCAGTGGTATTGCGCTAGCAAATTTCATATATCAAATCCAATGTTGCCATATCTCACAAACAGGTCGACCTTGGGCTGACTAAACATCGAGATGTGTTATTTGCTCCTGCAATGGCGATCGTAATTGAAATTTTATTTAACTACCAGGGAATTTCATGCACTTTCCATACTTTCCGAGCTTTAGTACGCGGACTATATACATGTTTAAAAACTGAAACTTTAGGCTGTGCGGGCTGTCTACGCGTGGGGACTATACAAGAATTTTGTTTTTTAAGGTCGTGCATTATGACGAGAAGTAAAGATTTTTCTGGATCAAAAAGTACGTTAATGATGATTTATGTATGATTCAAACTTCTCTGTGAGCTAAGAAAGTAGACGTTTGTCAATGTGTGCCGTGTATGTGAATACTTTCGTGTCGACTAAGCACCAGGTGTGGACTATGTAAGTAAGAACTTTTATTTTAACCCCAAATTTGTCCCTGCGGACTATACACCGAATGCGAAGTATAGCCCGGAAAATGCGGTATTTGTTTAACTAAATACAACCTACGAATACATTATGCAAATAGGTAGTTAAGTAAAAAAAAAAAAATAATGAAATTGTTCTATATACACGTATTTTAAATACTGCCGATCATTAGAAGAAGAGAATGAGGAATTTTAGCGCACCGTTACCGTGTTCCGCGTACCGCACTACCGAAGCCTTAGAAGTATTCTTTTAAGCGCGCGCCCCGCAGTCACGGTATCACCCGCATGCGCGCTTAAAAGCACGCTTCAAAGGCTTCGGTAGTGCGGGTACCGGTAATGGTTTGCGAAAAGTCCCTAATGTCGGTCGCGTGTTAGAGTCAACAGACTTGGGTACTACCTGGAGGCGATCCTTCTTGAGTTGGTTCCAGTTGCCCCAGAGAAGCTCCGGACTGGGCCCCGGTATGCCGTGTCGTCGAAACACTCCGTGAGCGTGACGACGCTGGAACACCCAGACGCCCGGTACCACCACCAGGACCAGGAAATTCATCAGGTTCCAAATGAAGTCGGCCATGGCAAAAGACTTGGGCCTGCGTGAGTCTTACGCGAGAACGTTGCCCCAGCCGAGGGGATATCCGACCCCTTTATAAAGAAGGGTATCTCGCCCAAGCGACGAGCCAAAACTTGCCGGCAAGATTAGAGGGTTCAAAATACTTGCCATTCCACGAGACAGACATGTACACGTCTTTCAAATACAGTAACATAATATTGCTCGTTACTCATTCCAAAAGTCACTAAGTTTACGTTATTATTTACGGGGATTTAAAAGGATCGCGTTACCTCAGCTAGACAGTATTGCGTTATTTTTCTCGTAACTCTCAATGTGTATTTTTTAGAAACCAGTAGCCGTTTCTAATACTTGTCGTTAATTATTCCTCGCATTTAACGCGTCCATTCAGGGATAACGGTGGCTATACCGACATACCCTGTGCACATTTTTTTATGGTCTATCTAGCGTTTCCTCGTCGGGCAAGTTACAGGCACGAGCTGCGGTGAGAGATGAAAGTTGGGTAGTTGTGCTTACACGTTTCCCTCTAGAAGCAAGTAAACACCGTTGTTCGTTGCGTCTTAAAAAATTAACCAAACTACATTACTGGTTTCTTCTGTTAAACGTAACTACGTTGTTACTCCGTTACTGAAGAAAGTAACTAGGTCCAAGTACAGTGGTCCTGAAGGCGAAGTGTGCTGTCCGCGGTGCGATTCCACAGAGGCGAAGGGGGTCGCCGGCACCACGACAGAACAGCACAACACGCGAGAAAACAGTACGGTCAAAACAGCACAGCTTCAAAACAGCACAGCTTCAAAACAACACAGCTTCAAAACAGCACAGCTTCAAAACAGCACAGCTTCAAAACAGCAGCACGGCGTCAAAGCAACACGCGTCAAAATAGCACGCGACAAAACAGCATACCGTCAAAACGGCACAGCGACTGAAGAGCACGTGCCAAAATAGCACGGCGTCACAACAGCACGATGTCAGAACAGCACAGCAACAAAACAGCACAGCGTCAAAACATAACATTGACAATATAGCTAGGGTTCGGCGTTTTCGGTTTGTATTACTTAAATTCCGCGCACTTTTTTTCGGTTTTTATTCCAAACAAAAGTTTTCGGTTTATTGCGGTGAATATTTGTAGACTTATAAATTTCTCAGTTATATTAGGTTTATTAACTAAAACCAGTATACTAACGAAAATGCAAAAATTAAACGCGTTTGTGTAAAATGTATATTGGGTACCAGGTACTGGTCTTCTTATTTGTTGCCGTCTTTGGCAGCCGATGCGACCTGTTCTGTTAGACGCACTGGGGCCTTATCGTGATCTGATATTATCGTCGTGTGCTCGTATTTGTACACAGGACGAGCATGAGCTTCAGTACCACTTCGGTCGTAGAGGCAAATATCAAAATGGAGAAATTAGCAAGCATTGCACTCGGTGCGTTTTCCCCCATTTTCACGACCGCGAGAGGTGATAAATTCGCGCCGACGGCAGGAACGACAATAAAATACTCGTATTTATGCCCTCTTCTAGTAGACGGAAGCTAGGGGTGTCAAACAATGCGCGGCATTTACGGACGCTATTGATTTCCGTTGTTTGATTTCACGATTAAACTTTCTTCCTTTAACTAAGAATTCGGCACAAATCTCTATCAGGTGAAAACCCCAGATATCGTCCTGAAGACCCCTGCGCCCCCGGAGCTTTTGTTGAAAGTTGAACCGATCTTTCGCAGACAAGCTTAAAAATGCGAAAGGAAGCGGTCATATGGTCAGTAATGAGTAGGGTTCCGTGTTTTCAGAGTTTAGTTATCGTTAAGTTCGGAGGGTGTTTTTCTGAGTTTATTTTTTGCCTAAAATTCGGAGTTTATCGGAGTTAATTTTTGTTTGATTCCGAATCTTCAGAAATTCGGAGCTCAATTTCGCAGTGTTATAGAAAAAATCGTAAGGGTGCAGGCGAGCTGGTGAATATTAACCATGTTGAATTAACCTGAGACTGGGGTAGAGAAGAAACATCAAAACGTAGAAGGGACAGAAAATAGAGAGGAGACGTCTTGCTGTCTAATGTCTGTCTTTTCTACGGTTTGATGTCTCTTCTCTACCCCAGTCTCAGATTAATTTAACATGCTTCGCTCTGTTTCTTATTAAACATAAACAAATAATATCAAAATGTAAACGTATGCTGGACAAAAAAGGAAAAAAAAAACGCGATTGTATCAATTAATATTTTCTTCAATTGGATTTGGCGTTGGTGCTATACTACTGGCAATACTAATTTGTCCTAGAACAAAAGTGGCACACAAGTGTTATTTCGATAAATTTCAATACCTTACAAACAATAACCCACTGGGGGTGGTCGCTGGGAAGCCTGTATTCATTCCATGCTATTCCATTAACCTACTGCGCGACCGCAAGAGGTAGAGTGGAAAAGGATGAAATAGAGAAGTTTCAACTGTCCTCTTCTCCACTTTATGTAATTTCTATGGTCCATAGCTTTCGCTGTTACAAAAACACAACCTCTCCTTCCTCTCGGGCACAAATAGTATGACCCAAACCGAAAACATAAACAGTGACTTTTGTCTTGACCCGATAGTACATTGACCTATTGTCCTGACCGAAATTTGAAAGGTATGTGTGGTGGCATTTTCCCAGGACCATTTACTCTACGCGCTGATTAAAGCATTAATTGTAAAATATATTTGTGTGTGTGTGTGGGAGGGGGGGGGGGGGGGAGGAGGGGATTGGCACATCGAAATTCAGAGTTTATCAGATAAATCCGAATAGACGAAACTTTTACCGGCGGGTGTTTTTCGAATTTATCCGAAAACACGAAACCCTAGTTATGAGTCACACTGTCCCCCCCCCCCCCACACACACACACACACAAACACACACACTCACACTACTCCAAACGCCCTCGAAAATACTGCACGTTTTCAGTTAAGACCGAATATGGAAAAATAAATTCGGCGTAATTTTACCGGCTATATTTGGTTTAACCCTAAAACGCTGAACCCTAAATATAGCGTTTGAATTAAAAAATGCACGTCTCAAATAAGGCACTGTAAAGGAATTAAGGTTCTAGGCCAATTCGTTGAAAGCCAACTCGTCGACGGCCAATTTTTCGAATCGGTTCTTTTGGAAGCAAGTTCGGAGTGGGGAGTATACTCGATGCGCGTGTGGCAGAAGCTGTGCGCGGTTAAAAGAATTCACAAATAAACAAAAACAACTATATTACATTAACTCGATTACAAAAATACACGTATATACAGTCATCGTTCAGGTTGGCGTCGCCGCGATCTTGTCCCTTCGAGTTCCTTCGTTCCACTGACCCACGCACTCAACTCCCCCCACACACACAGACACTCGCCTAAGCCGTCCCGTCCCGAAACCTGTCTCCCCACTTCCCCCCGGCTCCTCTTCAGCGGGCCCCCTCCGCCGCCAGAGCGTCTGGCTCGCAGCTGCAAGTCATCAAAGGGGGGGCCCGCCGACCGGGAAGAAGCAGGGCTCAGCCGCGGGCCGTCGAAGCCTAAGTCGCTGCGAAGGTCCCGCTGGCTGCGTATAATCTCCCCCTAATGTAAGTTGTTCGCGTATTGTGGAACACACTCCCGCCCCGCGGAACGAGCAGAGCCTGTCACTTTTCACGTGGCGAGTTCCAGCGTGTACAGCAGTTGCACTGGACGTCTAAGGATCGTTCCGTTGGGAAGGCGCACCAAACACGAGCGCACATGACCGTCCCCTTTGCACCCCCTCAATTCGCCCCACTCTCCACTGTATTCGCGGCGCCTTTTCCTCGTGCACCAAGACCACATCTCCGTCTTTCAGGCTGTTGATCTGCGTCTCTGTTGATTGGTGCGCTGAGCGTAATTGCAGCAGATACTCTTTCTTCCTTTCACCTTCTCCAAAACTGTCCATTACTTTGTGACGATGCCGCCAACGTCTGGAGAGCTCACCCTTTGTTGACTCTTCTGTTCTGTCCAGGCTTTTTGACGGCAAGGTTGTCGGTCGCCTGCCCGTAGCAAAGTTAAGCACCTTTTCAATGGGAACAGCCAGAGTGTCCTTGTCCCGTCGCCGTAGCGACCCAAGCACTCCCTTCGGCTCGGAAACGGCGGATGTCGTTGATCCCCCGTCAAACGAATTTTGCAGCTTTGTAGCGTTGGGTGACCATTTACGGAGTTTCATCCCTGCATCTTCCAATATTCGGTTGGCTTGGTCCTGTAGTAGCGCTGCTTTTTCGATCGTCGGGGCTCCAAGCAGAAAGTCGTCCGCGTAAAAAGACTTTCGAAGCAGCTCTGCAGTAGATTTCAGGTCCCCATTTACACCGTTCAGGTGATTCACAAGCGTGGCGGTAAGCGGAAAAGGGCTGGCGGAAGTCCCAAACGGCACTCTAGTCATCCTCCATTCCTTGACGCGTAATTCAGAACTCTCTGTCACCGGATCTCTCTGAGCCCATAGGAAGCGGAGTGCGTCGCTGTCTTGTGGTCGGACACCGGTCTGTAAAAATGCCTTTTCTATGTCTGCCGCCGTCACGGCCATCGGGTGCATACGAAAGCGCACTAAAATCCCGACGAGGTCAGCGTTCTGGTTCGGACCCTTGTCCGTGTGGTCGTTAAGTGACGTAGCTCCAGGTAGATGTGAAGAAGCATCGAAGACTACCCGGAGTTTCGTCGTCTCCGATTCGTTCCCAATGACCGGCTGGTGCGGCATGTAGTAGGTCCGGGAGCGTGCCGACTCGGCGCCGGTAGAGTCCGTTGGAACCCTTTCTGTGTGTCCTGCTGTTATGTAGCTGCCGATGGCGTTGTCGTACTCAATCGAGAGGGACTCATTCCGTGAAAGTCTTTTCGTCAAACCCCCGAGACGTTTCAACGCCAGCGTACGGTTGTCTTTCAGGTTTCCGGTGCTGGCTTTCCATGGCAAACCTAATTCGTTCCGTCCATCAACTTTCTTGATTGTTTCATTGAACTTGGTCAGTACCTCGTTGTGCTCCTCTGTCTTGCTGCATGGCCGATCAGCGATGCCGA